TTTGTACCAACCTTCCTCATTAAAATTCTAGGAAATTATCTCAACTTTCTGGAAAAAAAATTAAGGTCATTTAGACTCCTAGAACTCAAGATATGGGCTGAATACTAAATAGTTTCTGGGCTGCAGGACATATTTAAACTTCTATATTGTTACTAAGATTTCAACTTTCACGTAATAGAATTAAGTCTTGCCTTCCTATAAAATTTTTAGGCCTACGTCTTAACTTTCCATCCATATAAAGCAAACCTAAATATGAGATTTACAGCTCTAGATATGACTCAATTACCAACATCTCTTTTCTAAGTTTGGCCCTCTCTTTGTCCTTTCAATTTCAATACTTCAACTTATCAATGAATCCTTTTATTTATATGATAAGCCTGTATTTAGGATGAATATTTACTATAAATTAAAGGTATCTTATGATATCAGACTTGTTATTATAAAACATGTTTTAGTTAATGAGTTATTGATACATCAAGTGTAAAATTATGATATAAAACCTTAATAAAAATACACTTCTAAATACTAATAAGTAAGGTTATTGAAAAACCAATTATTGAACCTTATGAGAAAGATGATGAGTCAATCTCTAAGAGTAAGGAAGGGATTAAACCTGAACATTGCAAAGAAAAGATCGATTTCTCACAAGTTATTTCCTCATGGCATGACCAAACAAAGAAAAGTCAATCATGATTTTGAAATCTTTGAAACTTTTAAACAAGAAGAAATCAAGGATAAAAAAGGCACAAAAAATGTTGTCGCAGATCAGTTGTCATAATTGACAAGAGATTCAACATCCGATATCATATTAATTAATGATTACTTTTTTATTGAATCTTTACTTTCTTGATTAGTACTTAAAAGTATATTTTTTATCAAGGTTTTATGTCATCATTATGCACTTGAAGTATCAATAACACCTTAACTAAAGCATGTTTTATAATAATTTATCTAATAATATAAGATACCTTTAATTTGTGGTAAATGTTCATTTTAAATGCAGGCCTATCACATAAATGAAAGGATTGATTGATGAATTTAAGAACTGAAATTGAAAGGATAAAGAGATGGCCAAACTTAGAAAAGAGATGTCGGTGCAATCCAAACCAGAACACTGCTTGGTAATTGGGTCATATCTGGAGCTACAGATCTCAGATTTAGGTCCAATTTATATGGATGGAAAGGTAAGACATAGGCCTACAACTTTCATATGGAGCCCAAGATCTAAAAAGGCCATTATCAAGTCCAAATTGTAGCAACAACAAAGAAGCCCGAATCTGTCTTCCAGCCCGAGCACTGTTCGGTATTGTGGCCATATCTGGAGTTCTAGAAGTCCAAATGAGCTGAAGTTTTTACACAAGAAAGCTGAGACAATTGCCTACAACTTTCATGTTTGCAACTGGCTCCAATTTTGACGTTATCAATGACGTTTTGGGCAGACAAGAGAAGATAAGGATTGTCACCAAGTCAAAAGTTGGCCACCCACTTATCAATTAGTCATCAAATCAATAGTTCCTAATTTTGGCCTATAAAAGGAGGCATTTGCCATGCATTTAGGCATCTTGGTTTCGCAATCTTTTAGTATTGTCATAGTGCTAAAGAAGTGTTAAAGGGTTTTGACATGAAGAGTTGCAATCCTGTGAAAAATCCAATTATGTCAAGGTTCAAAGTTATGAAGGATAAAGGTAGTACTAATATTGATGCTACTACTTATAAGCAAATGGTAGGCAATCTTGTGTATTTGACTACCACCAGACTAAACTTGGTGTATATGGTATTAGGTTTATGGAAAGGCCAACAAAATTGCATCAACAAGTAGTGAAAAAGATCCTTTGATGCTTAAAGGGCACTATTGAGTTAGGGATTCTTTATAAGAAAAGAGGAGAAGATAGTTTGATAGCTTATTATGATAGTAGCTATGCAGGAGACATTAAGGATTAAAAGAGCACATTGGAGTATGTGTTCTTATTAAGTTCAAGTGTTGTGGCTTGGTAACACGACCAAAAAATTAATGTCTTCTCTCAAGTGCAGGAGTATCGAAGTAATAAATAACCCGGTAAGACCGAGGTCAGACCACAAGGAGGCTAACTGTATAAACTTACAAACAATAAATGAAGAAATAAGTTTAACATAATTCTTGAGATGTGATATTAATATAAGAATTAAACAATGATAAAATAATTGCTAAGGTTAGAGGATCCACTAATAGTATTTCAAACAAGTATGGTATAAACTTTTTTTATTACTCAACTAGAAACCATACAATAGAGGTTCCAATCAGATTATAAATTGTTAACATGAATACATTAGTTATCTTATTTGAATAATGTTAATACTTGTAAATATTGTTAAGTATTCATGATGCTAACTTATCTTAACAACAAATCAAGTTCCTTTCATAGCACAAATGTTGATTATACCATACAATTAGGCTATGAAAGTATCAAGTATTTGTTGTACCAAGGGTTATACAACATAAATCTAGATTAACCATTAAATAAGCAAAGTATTAAAAGTGAACAAGATAACAAAAACAGAACATGTTAATATCAAACATTAAATTCTATGATGAGTTTAAACTATACTTATTCTTACACCATTAGTGTAACCTTTTCACCTTGACATAATAAACTTAACTAACCATAATGAAAGAGAAAAACATAAATAAACAAGATAAGAACATAAATAAGATATAAATTAACCAAGTAAAGGAAATGAAAGGCATGAACAAGTGATTAATGAAAGCAAAACTTTAGCATTATAAAAATATAAAGAAAGAGAGCAAGAAGATGATCTTGACTTGACAACCAAGATACCTAAATACATGGCAAATGCCTTTTTTTACAGGTCAAAATTTAGAACTATTGATTTGATGACTAATTTTTGAGTGGGTGGTCACCTTTTGACTTGGTAACAATCATTATCTTATTGTCTATATAAAACATCATTGCTAACATCAGAATTTGGAACAATGATCTCATGAAAATTCTAGGAAATTATCTCAGTTTTCCAACAAAAAAATAAACAGTGCATTTGCACTCCCAGAACTCGAGATATGAGTTGAATACTAGACAGTGTCTGGGCTGCAAGACAGATTCTTACTTCTCCATTGTTGCTATAATTTAAACTTAAAAACGGTCTATTTGAATCTTGGACTCTTCATGAAAGTTTTAGGCTTATGTCTTAGCTCTCCATCCATATAGACGATACCTAAATCCAAGTTCTACAACTCTAGTTATGATCCAATAACTGAATGGTATTCTAGTTTAGACTAAACCAACATGTCTTTTATAAGTTTAACCCTCCTTTTGTCTTCTCAATTTCAGTAGTTAAGCTCATCAATCAATCTTTTTATTTATATGATAGATGACACGACTAAAAGATTAATGTCTTCTCCCAAGTGCAGGAGTGTCGAAGTAATAAATAACCCGACAAGACCGAGGTCGAACCACAGGGAGGTTAATTGTACAAATTATGAACAACAACAATAGTAACAATAACAACAACAATAATAATAGTAGCAATAATAATACTAATAATGCTAGTAGTAGTAGTAGTACTAATAGTAATAATAATAATAATAATAACAATAATAATAACAATAATAAAGAAGAAGAAGAAGAAGATGATGATGATGATGATGATGAGAACTTTTAGATGGAAAATTAACGTAAGGATTAAATAATGATAACAAACAATGTCAAGGTTAGAGGATCCACTAATGGTATGTCAAACAAGTATAGTATAAACTCTTATTATTCAATTGGAAACCACACACAAAGGAGGTTCCAATCAGATTATAGATTGTTAACATGATTACATTAGTCATTTTATTCAATTAATGTTAATACTTGTAAATCTCGTCAAGCATTCATGATTATAACTTATGTTAAGAACAAATCAAGTTCCTTTCATAGCTCAGGTGTTGGTTATACCATAAAGTATGAGCTATGAAAGTGCCAAGCATTTGTTGTACCAAGTGTTATACAACATAAATCAAGATTAATCATTTAACAAGCAAAGTATTAAAGAGTGAACAAGATAACAAATATAAAACATGTTAGTATCAAAAATTAAAGTCCATATTAAGTTTACATTATACTTATTCTTACACCATTAGTGTAACCTTTTCACCTTGACATAACTAACTTAGCTAGACATAATGAAAGAAATCTTTAATTTGTGGTAAATGTTCATTTTAAATGCAGGCCTATCATATAAATGAAAGGATTGATTGATGACTTTAAGAACTTAAATTGCAAAGGCAAAGAGATGACCAAAATTAGAAAAGAGATGTCGGTGCAATCCAAACCGGAACACTGTTCGGTAATTGGGTCATATCTGGAGCTATAGATCTCAGATTTAGGTCTCCTTTATATGGATGGAAATGTAAGACATAGGCCTACAACTTTCATATGGAGCCTAAGATCTAAAAAGGCCATTTTCAAGTCCAAATTGTTGGAACAACAAAGAAGCCCAAATCTGTCTTCTAGCCCGAGCACTGTTCAGTATTTTGGCCATATCTAGAGTTCTAGAAGTCCGAATGAGCTGAATTGTTTACAGAAGAAAGCTGAGATAATTGCTTATAATTTTCATGTTTTCTAGTGGCTCCAATTTTGACGTTATCAATGACGTTTTGGGCAGACAAGAGAAGATAAGGATTGTCACCATGTCAAGAGTTGGTTACCCACTCATCAATTAGTCATCAAATCAATAGTTCCTAATTTTGGCCTATAAAAGGAGGCATTTGCCATGCATTTAGGCATCTTGGTTTCCAGATCAAGATCATGCTCTTGTTTTTTTTCTTTGTAATTTTTATAATGTTTATGCTTTACTTTCATTAATATCAAGTTTATGCCTTTGATTTCCTTTGCTTTACATAGTTAACTTTTATCTTATTTATATTCTTATTTTGTTTATCTATTTTTCTTTCTTTCATTATGTCTTGTTAAGTTTATTAGGTCAAGGTGAAAAGGTTACACTAATGGTGTAAGAATAAGTATAGTGTAAACTCAATACGGATTTTAATGTTTGATACTAACATGTTTTGTATTTGTTATCTTGTTCACTCTTTAATAATTTTGCTTGTTAAATAACTAATCTTGATTTATGTTGTATAACACTTGGTACAACAAATGCTTGGCACTTTCATAGTTCATATTGTATGGTATAACCGACACCTGAGCTATGAAAGGAACTTAATTTGTTGTTAACATAAGTTATAATCATGAATGCTTGACAAAATTTACAAGTATTAGCATTAATTGAATAAGATGACTAATGTAATCATGTTAATAATCTATAATCTGATTGGAACCTCCTTTGTGTGTGGTTTCCAATTGAATAATAAGAGTTTATATTATACTTGTTTGACATACCATTAGTGGATCCTCTAACCTTGACATTTGTTATTATCATTGTTTAATCGTTACATTAATATTTCATCTCAAAGTTCTCATCTTCTTCTTCTTCTTCTTCTCCTTCTTTTTCTTTATTATTATTATTATTATTATTATTACTATTATTATTATTATTATTATTATTATTATTGTTATTGTTACTATTATTATTACTATT